TAAAGGACATGGAAGAAGGAAGCTTGCTCTCTTTGCCTGCTTGATCTTGCTCTCACTGGCAAGTCCACTCCTTCACTGCCATTAGAGCCTACTTCTTCAAGATTCTGGCACATACTGAAGACCAGCTGAGATATCCAGCCTCATGGAGTTAACAACCACTGGATTGTAGGACCTTCCCTTGGGAGACAGTCATCGTTGGACTAGCTGGACCACAACCTATAAGTCATTCTAATAAATCCAGGTATGTATGTGTATTTTTATATATGGTTCATATATATTATATGTGTATATATCTATATATATGGATTTATTAGAATGACTTACAGGCTGTTGTTCAGACATATGTGTGTGTGTGTGTGTGTGTGTGTGTGTGTGTGTATAATTTCATTCTATAAGTTCTGTTCTTATAGAGAACTCGGACTAATACAGTCATCATCTACTGACATTGGTTATGCAACCCTGGAACAGCCTTCTCTGCCCCTCATGACTTCCATTAATTTTGTTCTCATGGGTGCAAGATGACTATATCAGCTCTAAAAATCAAATCCCAAATAATGTTCAAAGTCAGGAAGCATGAAAAAAGACAGGGTAGAAACATACCTCACATAGCCTCTCTTATCAGAGGGACCAGTCTTTCCCAAAAGTTCCTAAGGTCATGTCCTTATACATCTTACTGCTAAGAATTAGCGCATGTTGCCACTCCTAGCTGCAAGGGAGTCTCCCGGGGAACAATCTCCTATGAATGTGGATAGCATTGTACTGCCCTCCTGCCCTTGGCAAAGCCATGGCTCTTCCCTCCTTACCATCTGGACAGTCATAGTTCCAGGCTTCCTCTGATGCCCTGATAGCCCTCCATGTGGCCCTGCCCACACCCTTTACATCTCTCATGCCCTGTACCTACATGACTGTGCCTGGCATTGAGGAAGCAGGATATTTCCAAAGCCAGCCCTTTCATTGGCTCCTTACTTCTCCAGGAAAAATCCAGACTCACTCTGTCCCCAAGTCCTCCCTTAGGGACCCATGTATCTTTACAGCCTCACTTCCTCTCCATTGCCAATAGCCCCCAAACTGAGGATGGGTTCCCCTAAATTCAGCCCTAGACATGAAAGAGATAGTGTGTGGTTCTAGTGCAATGAACACTTCAAGGACAGTGGGGAACAGAGCAGGAAGAGTGTGCTATCAAGTGCTGTCCACGGGCCAGAGGAAGAGCCCTACCTTCAAGTTAGTGTCCATCTGAGGGGTAAGGAAACTGAGGAATGGGCCGCCTGTTCCCAGTCACCATTGGTTCAGAGCCATTCATAAGAGGAAGGGGGTCATTCTCTACTGTTTCAGCAAGAATGGCTCATTAGGCAGCAAGGTATTTGAGTCCATAGCTCATGAGGCTGCGTTGTGTAGGATGCACCTTAGCACAGTCCCATCTTTACCTTCTTCAATGCCCCTTAGATTGAGACTAGAAGATCCTTTAGAAAGAGAAACATGTGTATATATGTGAGTGTGTGTGTATATGTGAGTGTGTGTGTGTGTGTGTGTGTGTGTGTGTGTGTGTGTGTGTGTAACAATAATAATAATAAAGAGGCTGTGAATTTGAGAGTGGGGAATATGGAAGGGTTTAGAGGAAGGGTACCTGGGAGAGACAGAAAGGAGGAAGGGAAGGGGGAAGTAGTTAGAATTCGATTTTAATGAAACTGTATAGGAAGGAAAGGAGGGAGGGAGGGAGGGA